TTACATTTACATTTAGTCATTTAGCAGACGCTTTTATCCAAAGCGACTTACAAATGAGGACAATGGAAGCAATTAAAATCAACAAGAGAGCAATGATATGCAAGTGCTATAAGTTTTAGTTAGCTTAACGCAGTACACATAGCAAGGTTTTTTTTTTATTATTATAAAATAAATAAAAAGAAAACAGATAGAATAGAAAAAGAATAGAGCAAGCTAGTGTTAGAGGCCTTTTTTTTGCTTTTGTTAATTGTATAGTAAATAAAAGGAAAACAAATAAATAGAAGATTAGAGAAGCTAGTGTTTTTTTTAAGAAAACAAGCAGTTAGTAAATGAATAGAGTGGAAGTCTAAAAGGGGCAAGATTTTTTTTTTTTTTTAAGAATAGAATTAGAATAGAGAGTGCTAGAGTTAGAGGATCAAATAAAGATGGAAAAGATGTGCTTTTAGCCGATTCTTGAAGATTCTTGTAATTACAATTGTATTTAAGAGATCCCAAAATGCAGGGAAATATGGGTCTTTTTGTTGTTTTTATGAAATAATTTTTTCTGTTATGAGAAAAAAACAGCCTGGCCTACATTGAGTTCCCTGTAAAATCCTTAATATAGTACCACTTCAGGTGGTATAAAAAAATTTGTTCTAATGTAGATTTCCCATATCCTGTAGAAATACCATATCGGCCAACTACTAATGACTTTTATTTGTCAGACGTAAGTATTAGACTTACCAATCTCATACAGGAAATAGGAAAACTGTGCCTTTAAATCACTGCTCTAGCTGGTTAGGTGATACACCCAAGAAAAAAATGGGCCAAGCAAGGTGCCATATCGCTGACAGGGCACACACACATTCACAAACACACACTGGGCTTAGTGCCTGCAGAAAAGGAGCAGAAGAGGAGCAGCACCATTGATATCATTAGTGGTGGACAGCATAACAGACTGGCTGGGATTGTGGGAAATGCTTGAGATGACAACAATATTTCTGCACCTCCATCTTTTTCTTTCTTGCTTACTTTCCTGCACAGTGCCTGTCTGTACTGTAATTAGGCCAAATGTCCTGAATCACAGCGTGTATGCTTCTGAATCACTCTGCCCTTCTTCTGACATCACTGAGTGTACTTCCTTTCCAGTTAGTAGGAGACTGGAAGGCTGTGGCTGGCATTTGGGAACACAGGCTGTGTGTGAACTCAAACTGAGTCACCAGTGCTGTGTGCAATACACTATATGAGTAAATGACAACTGTAGATTGCTGTTTCCATGGTGATTAAGGGGGTCCCCCCCAATGGTGTCAGAGGGTGAGGTGTTAGGGTGCTGCATGAATGTGCCATGCACTGTCAAAAGAAGCCTAAAAAAGGCAGTGTGAGTAACCATGCACACATACATGCACACACTGAATTTTATCCAACCCGTGATATATACAAACAGATAAATGTACAAAACTCATTGTACATAAAGTGTGTAAAACTTTACTAATTTCAACACTTTCTTCACTATTTCTGACAAAGGAAAAAGGACTTCAATTGATTTTTTCCCCTCAATAACACAAATAATCCCTTAGTGATCTGAATGTATTTACTGTACACTCAGTGGAGCCAGTTATGAGAACGCCGAGTAACCAACCACAGTTTAACCCCCTCTAGAGCCAAGAAAATGAGACTAGTGTACAAGTGCAATCTATTAACATTGTAAAAGTTCTCTGGAGGTTCACAGAACTCAAGCACTGATGAATATTTAGTACAAGACGTTTCCTGAGTGCTGCCTGCATTGAGATTTATTTATCTTATAGAAAATTGCAGACAGAACTGCAATCGTAACAAAGCACTTTCAGGCAATTTCCACTGCCTGCCCTCAATCTGTTATATTTTTTCTGGACGTGATGATAAATGTTGATTTGTACATATAACAAAGACTTGAAATTAACTTGTATATCACAAAGCCATCTTTTTCAATGTACTTATCAGGTTAATGCTAATAGGCAAAGATATCTTTCTGGTTACATAACGATTTCTTTTATTCTTGCAGATATTAAATCTTTCTACAGATATACACTACCGTTCAAAGGTTTGGGGTGGGTACGATTTTTTAATATTTTGAAATTAGTCTATTTTGCTCACCAAAGCTGCATTTATTTGATTGAAAATATAGTAAAAAGAGTTCTACTGTAAAAAAAATTTATGTAAATAATGCCGAAGCAGCCATTACCTTCAGAAATGATTCTAATATGCTGAAGAAACATTTATTATTATCATTGTTGAAAATAGTTTTTGCTGCTTAATATTTTTAAGGAAACTGTGATGCATTTTTTTTAGTGCTGTCACACGATTAATCGTGATTAATCACATCCAAAATAAAAGTTTTTGTTTACATAATATACTGTATGTGTGTGTACAGTGTATATTTATTATGTATATATAAATACACACACATACAGCACATATTTTGAAACTATTTACATGTATATATTTATATTCATTTAATTTATATTATATATAAATATATTTAATATATAAACGTAACATATTTTTCTTATAACATATTTTAACATTTTCTTTATATACATGCATGTGTGTGTATTTATATAAACATAATAAATATACACATTACACACACATATACTATGTAAACAAAAACCTTTATTTTGGATGCGATTAATCACAATTAATTGTTTGACAGCACTACATTTTTTCAAAATTCTTTGATTAATAGAAAGTTCAAAAGAACAGTATTTATGTATTTATTTATTCTTGCTTAATAAAAGTATTAATATAAAAATACTGACTACAAACTTTGCAGTGTTTACCAGAGTGCAGTCAAATTCATACCTATTTAAACTTGGTATTTGTACAGTAATTAAACAATATGCATTCTGCACATTTTGAAAAATGACATTTGTTAATGTAAAATGTGAATGCGAAAACCTCACACCTATATTGTCAACAGGATTATGACCTTGAGCGCACAAAGATAGTCATCTACCTTTTTTGGCACCTACTGTATGATGCCTTGAAATGGTACCTTCGTATGCACCTCAGTATGAACAGGAGCAAAGCAAACATTTTATACCTATTCAAATTTAGTTATGCATCACACTGATATACAAGACAATGAAATCCACACTTTGAAAAATGGATATATCAGCTGCAGAGCTTTTAAAGAGAAAACAGAATGGTTTATGCCATGTAGGCTAGATATCGTAAATGATTCCAATGATGTATTTTTTTTACATGAAATTGCCCAACTGACTACAAAGACAGGTGTAATCTCTCATTTCTCTTAGTACATCGCTGCAATGTCTTTTGTTCTCCTTCATCGCTTTCGCTCAGTCAATGTACCTGTTGTCCATTAGGTTTGGATCCCTGCAGACTGCAGTGTCCCAGGCTGCCGTTGGGGGTGGTGGCACAGCTGCTGATGATCTGGAGCTGTTTCTCAGCACGGTCAGCCCGGTCCAACAGCTCCTCGATGAACTGCTGAAGACGCACTTTAGCATTGGCTTCACGCCCAGCTGTTTCCTGCAGAAACTGGTCGATCTGGGCCACCTCTCTGAGTAAGGAGGAAAAAAAATAATGAGAATTACTGTGAGAGGATTGAGTCGTTCAGTGGTGATAGCTTGTCAGTTGCTCTTGATCATTTTTTAATGAGTATTTAGTGTGTTAAAGAGAATTAAGCATGAAACTCTTAAGATATGGTGGTATGGGGTGACGTATACATGACCCGATGCATCCCTACAAACGGCATTTTCTTTTAAAGAAATTAAAGTCTAGAGAACATGCCAATTTAAACCGGTCACACCTCGACAAATGGGAAAAGGGCATCTGAAAGGCACCACTTTCTCCCTCCCGTTTGTCCCTTTTCTCATTCTTATTTATCTCCTCTTGCATTCTGCAATTCCCTGGAGTGTGCATACAGCCAATGAAAGCATGACAACTGTTATCTCTGTGTAGACAATGTCTCTGTACACATAAACACTGGCTTGCGCCTCGACACCATCACCTCAGCTATTCTAAGCTTCTAACACACTCATAGTAGATTCTCACACAATTGGAGTTTTCATTTTCGTACGCCAACAAAATGATATTTTGAGATACTGACATCTTGAGTATTTCATCATCAAAGGTTGCAAACAATGTCATAGGCCATAGTGAATAATGCAGCAGTCCCTGTACTCAAAGAAGAGGCTTTAAATATCCACACAAATTAAAAGCACCATTTAATAAACTAGGAAAATGAATGTGCGTAAATGTGATCTCAATGTCATTTATGTAATTGTGTAATCTCAAAAGATCCTCTAAGTAAATAACAATGATAAAGATCAGGCCCTATTAAATCATCACTGTCAAAAAGACTGTAGTCTGCACTGTAGTCTTTTTTCAGTATGTTTGTCTTGTGCAATAATTTATCGTTACCAAATCAAAACGTATGTCAATGATCAGTCGTGAAAACAGGGACAAAAAGGTTCAACCAAAAAAAAGTTGTTTTATTGTTTTGCAGATCTACAGGGTTGTAAGGATTGATTAATGCAGGATCTAATGCTTTATGTGAGAGAACTAAACAGACTTGGAATCAATGTTGTTATTGATAAAACTACAACTATTTAAAAGGTTAAGGTTAAGGTTAGGGAAAAGAAAGCTGAAATAAATTAAAATATACATATTAGATGAACTACTAACACTTTAAAAATGTAAATGAACATTAGAAATGTTGCTTCTGCAACTAACTGAGATAAGTATGAGATGAAGTACTAAAACTCAAACCAAAATAAAAATAAATAAAGCTATATAGAATTATTTATTACAAACAAATAAAAACAAAAAAGCATATAAAACTACTAAAATTTAAACTAAACTTTAAATTAAAACCTGAAAACATAAAACTAAAAGCTAATACAAAAATGTAACAAATAACATAGCAGTCGTCTATAGGTGTCACGAATCCGGTCCGTGGCCTTCCGGCCGATTGCCACCAGAGGTCGCTCTCCCATTACATTGACTCTCACTATTACGGCGCCATTACAAGTTTCCGTTTCTAGTTCTAGTCGAAGTCTAGTCATTTCGTGTTGCCTTGTTGTCTGTTTCCTGATCTTCTGCCTGTGTATCTTGGATTAACCCTTTGCCTGCTGTTTCGGACTGTGTTTGCACCTTGCCTGGACTATTGCTTGTGTTATTGGATAACCACTCGTGTCAAGCCCCTGTATCCTTGGTTTCTGATTATGCCCTTGTTTGTTGCCTTGGTTTGTTCTCATGTGTGGTCACATTTACCTTTTGAAACATTTTGAACAAAAAGCTGAGAAAAATCACGTTTTTTGTAAAAGACTACATCTGGATCAGATTCAGAACGGTGATCAAAACATAGATGGTACAGATCGCTTCCATCAACACATCCAAAGCTTGCACGGTATACCACTTCCTGGATCAACATTTCATTCAGTAACGTTAGGCAGTTTTGATTTATATGCTGTTTTATGCATTATTTTACATATGCATCTGCTTACATATGTGATCGCTTGTTTCTTCTGCTTCTTCCCCGTGTTTTGACCCAGACATTCAATACTCTTTCATAAGATGCGTAATAGCGCCTCCTACCATACACCAATGAAAATTCCAATAATGGCGGGGAATTAGCGTTGTCTCATAAATTACGGGAAATTCTGTAGATGGGTTAACGAGAGCTTGTTTGAAGGGGGTTAAGAAACACCCAAAACTCTAAACAAGTACAAAGACATTTTTGTTGCTCAAAACTATATACATGTATATTAGGGTGACCATACGTGCCATTTTCCCAGGACGCGTCCTGGGAAAATGGCACATATGGTCACCCTAATGTATATATAAAGGAACAAACAAGGAACCAAATGAGACAAGGTGCAAACAAAAGGTAAATGTGACAACACATGAGAACAAACCAAGGCAACAAACAAGGGCATAATCAGAAACCAAGGATACAGGAACTAACGTGAACAAAAATTAACAACAGAAGTCCAAAAACACAGAACAATAACGTAACATTAATCTTCACTTATTCACCATAGTGAATGAACACTAATAATCTCTGGTGGTGGCATCCAATGCTCAAATCAGATCTGAAAGCTCCGCCTATGCATATGGCTTATCTCCACTGGAAATTAATGACTTCCGGTTTGTCATTTATTGGAGATAGTGGAAAGGCAGCTTAACGCTTGTCTAAGCAGATGCAGTTACGGGCAAAAAAAAAAAAAAAGGCCAAATGATGGCCGACTGATTGGCCTGATCGCTATGTATAGGTTTAAAGTGGACACAGTTAAGGGGACAATTAAGTGGCTGAAGCAGCATGACATATTACAGTGTCTCCCGCTGTCTGCCCTAATCAAAACTCTCCCAGTGTAGCTTACAGTCCTGTAGCTGACCGAGGCTTCTTCACAGGGGAACATGAATACAAATAAGACCGCCAGCTAAAAAAGCTGATATCTAAATTCTAATATGCTACAAGCAAAGCACGCTGAGAGAGATACCCTGGCTTTCAGATTCACACTGTGAGAATTCAAACTAGGTATGGCTGTTTGAAAGTGCTCTTGCTTGAGTCTCCTAATAAACTTACCCTTTTCTAATGAGCACAAACATACACATTCCCAAGCACGCAACCTCTTTATAACCAAGAACAAATAACTATTTATTAATATCTCAACTCGAGGTCACACCTCAAGGTTAAACTGGAATGACAGAACTCAGTCTGAATGTAGCGCTGAGAACACAGTGTACAGAGAGACTGACAAAGTGTGTGATAACCTGTGTGCCTGCTTACTTCCACACTGCCCTTATCTAAAAGCAACAGATTAAAACTGCTCAGATATGATGTTGCTGGTGTTCAGAAAGATACTCCAAGAAGTAGCCGTTTGTAATGCCTGATCAAAAACAAATGCTGTTTTCATGAGAGCTGGTTGTATTAATCAAAAAAAATAAATAAATCCAGTTATGCATTTGTAGCAGTGGTTATCATAGAACAGGAGATGTTTTTGTTGGTAGACATTAACATTTATATTAAGATATGCTAGAAAAATAGAATACCAAGTTAGCCCTAAGGTATGTAAGCTATAGCCAGCTTTCTAAGCATTTCTGTACATTTATGCATCTGGCATAATGTGATTTTCTGTAATTTCCAATCAAGTGCCAAATAAGTCTGTCCGGTTAAGTATGATGTCAAGCGTCACTATTTTTGAGTTCAAGTGGTTCCACAAAGCAAAAACGTATTTGAAAATCAGACACAAAACCACAAGACAGTGTACTTAACTGCTTTAATGAGGAGGGAGAAAAAAAACTACAATCCCCTGAAACATTGTGAAGGACAATCAAATTAAAAACAATAATATAAACTATAGATTTAAATATGCTGATTATAAATAGAAATATTTTATTTAAACAAAATACATTTAGTTTATTGCAAAATATTTATATTATGCATAAAATATATATTTTTTTGATTTGGAGATTTCTATGCAGAATCATTGGTAATGTAGTTTTCACCAGGAATTCCACTATTTAACAAGAATAAAAAATAAAAAAAACTTGAAGTAATACTGGATGATGGCTTCAACAAAATAATATACCATTGATTAACAACCTCGTAGCTCACTGCAGGTGTGTCTTTAGAGGTTATTGTTTAAAATCAATTCTCATATAGAGAAAATGAACAGGATTTTTACTTCAGGAACAAAGTCTGGGGGACTGATTTCTATGATGGTGCTGCTCAACCTTGCAAGACACCAGTGCAGAGCTCCGCAAGGACAGCATCTGTGAGTTGTAGGCTCTCTGTGAGCCTCCTTATAAGATGTCCTGAGCGTGGGGCATAGTTAGGCCTCCTCTAGTTTTAGAGTGTCTTCATGCTGAAACGCATTTCGTGCCTTCTCTAAAATCTATGTTTATGGTAAGAGCACCATAATCTTGTTGAGGCCTCTGCTCCCCAGAGCTCCACTCAAAGAGTAATGGTGAGTAGTAGGCTCCTTGTGGGCCTCCTTACAAGATATACTGACCGTGGGGCGTTGTTAGCTCTTCTCTCGATTTGGAGAGTCATTCATACTGAGGATTCCTCTCCTAGAGCTCGGCTAGGCGGTAGGGTAGTATGCTAAGTTGTTAGGCTCTCCGGGAGCCTCCTTGGCTGTGGAGTCTTGCTAGGTCACCTCTCATTTAAGAGGTGGTATATTTAGGCCTCCACTCTGCAGAGCTTTGTGGGCCAGTTAGCTCTGAGTGTTAGACTCTCTGTGCGCCTCCTTGGATGCTGGCCTGAATACGAATGTAGTTAGGCTTCTTCTCTCCGGTTGAGGCCTTCTTGAGAAGCTCCGGTCTATGATCGCATTGCTGGTGCAGGGGTGAGGACTCCTTTGAGTCTTTAAATGAGCTCAGCCAATAAGTCACTCATTCCTTCAGCATGCGTGGGTATACCGTTAGCGCCCCATAGCGCCCTCTAGGGTATGCAGTGCAAGTTCCCTTTAGAAGGGGAACGTCTCAGGTTACACATGTAACCATAGTTCCCTGAGAATAGAGAACGAGACGCTGCGTCCCTTTGCCATGCTTCAGGCATTCATGCGTACTTCTCCTTCAGACAAGATGTGGATGACGTATTTCACAGGTGTACTTTTATACTCTGGGCCGCACCAGTTGTGACGTCATAGGCTGCCGCCTGCCAATGTCAAAATCATTATCATGTTTAGACTCATGTTTCAGACACCGGTTATGCCGGAGGCATTCCCCATCGCGCCCGCTAGGGGCTGCAGCGTCTCGAGCCCTATTCTCAGGGAACCATGGTTACATGAATAACCTGAGACTTTTTCCAGACTGCTTTCCATGGGAACAACTATTAGTTGGCTGTCAGATACGTCTGACAATAATGCTTTTTATTGCTACAACAAAGAATGTATGAACAGTGCACCGGGAGTTACTTAAATTTAATAAGCCATTTAATTCAGATTTAAAGAATGATATTCCATTCACATAAGGTGAGATGACTAATACAAGATGTTCTGGAATATTAGTTATGCAATACAGTATGAAATAAAATGAGTACAGATGTAATGTGCAAACCTACATCTGCATTTTTAGCACTACTGATAAAATATAAAAAAATATTAATACAAAATACCTACATGATCTAGACAACCTCACTTAATACCAATCAGGTATTAAATGTATATTGCATGCAAATGAGCTAAAACAAGACCACTAACTGACTGCATGAATGTTCTAAGCTGATGCAAATTCTCTACAATTTATGAAGTGTAATTTTAAAAAGTCTATATTTCATGATAAGAAGACTGTAAACACTATGCGATAAGCCAAAAATACTGATGCAGGGCATCAGACGTGGACAGATGAGAAACAAAGACGTTGCCTGGAAATAGAATTCTAACATCTGATATTTAACTTTCCCCTGCACTAACGCAGTGACAATTATTTCAAGTGCACATAAAAATAGCAGCAGAGGGCTAATGAGTGACGCACTGTATTCAGAATAGTAATTGATTGTGTAAGGCTGTAAGCAACACATAGTCTCCAGAAAATATGAATGATAATTAGATGCAAGTAACAGAAGAAACAAGAGTGGTTAATAAGATAAAATTAGAGGAGGGTAAAATGGGGCTCTTGGAATGCTTGGAAGTATTACAGATTATTAGCTTGACTAAATTGCTTTAGTACACACCTCAGAGATGTACATGCTATGAGTCACACAGCTGACCATCATACAAGTAGCAGACTTATTTATCTGCTTGTTACAAAATGTACAAAGAGATGTCTAGACTAGTGATGCACCAGAAATAATTTTTAATTTACCGAAACCAAGTTTTAATTTAGCTGAAAGTTTAATAATCAGTTAATTTATTTATTTAATAATCAACAAATTAAAAAAAATAGTTGTATATGAACATTTAAATTTGACAAAAAAACTTGTTTAATGACTGATTTATTCAAACACACATTAAATAACATCAACAAGTTCAGTAAAAATATGTGTATGTAATATAGTGTATATATTTTAGCAAAATTCTTTTTTTTTCTAGCTAACTAGCGAGTTTATGGACATTGAATGGCTTTCCTGAGGTAAATGTAACATTACATGACATGATGTTTACAAGCTGTTTTAATGACATCTGACCGCATCTGAACAATGATTGAACAATATGAAAAATGAAATTTCATAGAATTTTAAAAACATGAGTTTTTGGTTTCAGAACCAATATCAGTTGCTAAATTTTCGATGCATCTCTACTATTCTATGCCAACAAGCTCATGTCCTCAAACTGTGCCTGTCCTGTAAATTTCAACATTGGTACAACAGGATAGGTCACAGAGAAAGACAGAGACAGCAGAAAGAGAACATTAGCAGAGATTTGTATGCAAATGCAGAGAGGTTATTATATGAGCCCTCTTATGAACCGAATACTAAACACACACACACACACACACACACACACACACATAGTATATCAATCTGTAATTCACACATCAGAGGTACTCTGACTGCAAGACAGATGAATTAATCCTGATCCACAAACCTAAGTTTGCATAACAATGGCAGCCATGGACACTGGATCTATCTATTCACATTTAAAATAGCTAAACAGGACATTGTGGCTCAAATGAGCAAGTAATGAATTTAAGGATGATCATTAGTTAATTTGAAGTATGAAAAAATTGCTATGCCACAACAAGGCAGCTGTTGCTAATAAAGCAGGTCTGGCTAGAAAGTTTAAGAATGTTTTTAAAAGCCTTGAAGATACAAGTCAGTAAATGTGATCAGTTCATATACTGTATACTCTATATACTGTAGCACACCAAGTTAGAATAGTCTGAAGATTTGTGTTTAGCTTGAAAGCTCCAGAAGAGACACACATGATAGGCAAATAAAGCAAAAATCAGCAATTGAGAGAAGGAGCCAGAGTCTGCAGAGGAGAATCAGAGATCAGATGGGATATGAGACGCTAACAAGATTGAGGTGACTGTGAGAGGGAATAAAAAGAGAGAATGGAGAAAGGTATTGAGGGTCAAAAAACAGAGAGGTGAGAGAGGTAAAAGAGAAATGAGGCCTCTTTCTTTCTACCTGCCAGCAGTGCGTGACCGGTTTCTCAAAAAAACTCTAATCCACAGGCAGCTACAGATCAATCACAGCGAGTGTATATTTAAGATGGAGTCCTGCTGAGAATATCCCACAGCATATGGAGTCTCTATACTCAGACCACTCCAAAAGCTCAATTGCCCCTCTTATTTGGACTTCTATATGCAGTATATCAAATGAAAATTATTTTGGGAGAGGTGATATTTTATTTGAATGACTTTAACAAAGAATAATTTTACAGTATTTTTCTACCTTTTTTCCCTAATTCATTCTTGACAACCAAAATACCATTTGAAAGCTTTTATACTCAATATTGTTAGAATTTTATACTTTAATACTATCTGAAATCTGTCATTTGCAATTTCCTGGCTTTTGGTCAGAAAGGAAATCAGATGTTGCGAAACTGAAAAGCCTTTGTAACCATAAATTGGGATTGAAAAGGCTTGGTGATATGCAACCTTTAAAATATAATATTTCATGCTTTCACACTGCTTACAAATCAAAGTTATGAGCTCATAACATCAAATGAAACCCACTGAAATACAAGTTATCTAATGGACTCAATTTATCACTTTCTCTCAGGGTGGCAGCGAATCTTACCATGATAACATGAACACATATTTGTGACTTTCAGCAGGAGCTGCTACAGAGGAATACAGCAAGGAAGTAAGTGTCATTGCCATTATAACTGTAGAGTGGACTGGTGAAAGACACTGGCAATTAAAGGCAATGGCCCGTAGGGTGTAGGGTAGTTCATCAACTCTTAGGCAAAGGCAGTAAAAACATCTGCAGATCACGGGAGCACAAGCCTTCAGGAAACAGCATTAAGGGATAGTCCATCAAAAATGTAAAATTCTGCCATCGTTTGCTCACTCTCATGACAAAACTTTATAACTTTTTTCTGCAGAACACAAAAGAAGATATTTTGAAGAATGTTGAAAGACAGTTTTGGTGACCAATAACTCAACTCTCAAAATAATTTCCTTTGTGTTCCGCAAAAGAATGTATGTTTTGAAACGCCATGAGGGTGAGTAAATGATGACCAGCATCCAGCTAAGCTATACAAATGTACAAACGTTTGTCACGCCAATAAAGCACACTAAACTGAAACAACCATGAACATGAAAAGCCTGCAACAGAGCAGATTAAATCTTACTGGAGACATACTACAGAGATGCTACAGTCGCTGGTTTGTTAACTGTCTTGCTCAATTGTCTTGTCTAAATGAGGCTAACCCGTGGAGCTGTCGAAAACGAATTTAGCCTTTCTTCTTTTGTGCAAGCCCTGCTTGCTCCACAAAGCAACTTGTGTTGGAGAGCCCTAGAGTGAATCAAGCATTTAAGCAAAAACAGCAAGGTACAAACAGTCAAGAACATTTCTCATTATTTCTTCAATCAAAAGCCACTTTTTTCTCATTCTAAGGGATTGGTCATGCAACAAGGTGGGTCGCCTGTAACTTACTGTTGTTTGTGTGAGAGCTCCTGCTCCTTGTTAACCAGATCCTGCTTAAGGCTGGCCAGCATTTCCACAGACACGTCCACTTGCCGCGAAAGCTCTGTGGCCTTGTCCTCCAGGTCTTGCTTCTCCTGACTGAGCCTCTCGCTCTCCAGCTTTGCCTTTTCCAGCTCCAAGCTTTTCCTCTCCAGCTCCGTCTGCAGACGGCCAACACGCGCCGCGATCTTCTGCTCCACCTCCTCCGACAACTTCTCGAGTCTCTCGTCTAGCTCGAGCCTCTCAAACGCTCGAGCTTTCAACCGAGCCAGACCCTCTTCGTAAGCTGCCTCCACCGCACTAGCAGCCACATTAGCGGCCACCGCCACCGCATTGTTCCCTGTGGAGGACAAGGCGTCGCCGGAGCTCATGGCTGTCTTCACCAGGATCTCGCCCAGAGGAAACTCCACATTGGGCAGGTAGCAAGCAGTAGACGAAGGCGCAAGCTCGAGCTCTTCTCCAGAGCAGGGCAGTTCACGGTACGGAAAATGGGATTCGGCAGAGAGGGCTCCGTCGGCCACTAGGGGGAGCAGCGCAGCGGCATCGCATACGCTGTTGGACTTGGACAGCACATACAGGGTCTCATAGGTGTGGTTGTACTCCAGATGGGCGCGCAGAGAGGACAGACTTCTAAAGCGCTTGTTTTCCCCACAGCGAGGACAACGGTACGGCAGGTCCAAAGAGGCCATTCCACGCTCCCGTGGATGCCAGGATGGAGCAATCTGCTCACGCCACCAAGCGCTGCCAAGAGCAGGCAGGGACAGCGGCCGGGCACCAAAGAGGACCACTCATCTCAGACGCGTTGGGTTTGCTACGGGCTGAGCAAGGAACAGGGGATCACCACACATGCTCCTTCTGAGTCACAAGTTCTTGATTTAGTTCTTCAATAAGGTCTTGACTGCTGTTAGGCCTATTTCTGGCACTTAATCATTTTCCTCACAGTCCAAACCTTTTGTCCTAGTAAAAGAGAAAAGACAAAATGAACAAATATTAATGCATACAGTACAGGGTATCTGCAGGTATCTTTTTAATACCATTTTCAAGACCTTCCGAAAATATTTTCAGACTGGCTCAGCACTTCTATCGGCTTCTATGCGAAGACATAAAATCACCCTGCTCAACAGATATATACAAATGAACCAAATTGACCGTTTTTACATTTCTGGCTTTAAATAAACTATAGCAGGGTAAACCCCTATTTATGAAACCTTAGCCGTTAGAATTTTTGTAGAACTATTTGCTCCAGTGGTGAAAGAAAAACAAAATCCAGGTAAAAGAAAAATGGATTATGGTGGTCTGAAGAGAGAAAGATGTCAAATTTACCATCACTCGCTCAGCAGCTGTTAAATGAATTAATTTAAGACATTTTAAGACTTCTTTGAAATTTGCTATTTAGTATATATTGCTTTATGTGAGTGTACTTCATTGCGTTTAAAGCTGTTTATATTTATAGTAATTAAAAGTTATTGCTTGAATATGCATTGTTATGGAAAACTGTAAGGTTTGAAAGGTATATTGACAATATGTAGCCCAAACAGAAATAATGTTGGGTCCATTATCATTTGGCTCTAATTTATCAATTTAAAGGGGTGATATGACGTTTCTAAAAAAGAACATTATTTTGTGTATTTGGTGTAATGAAATGTGTTTATGCGCTTTAAGGTTAAAAAAACACATTATTTTCCACAGCAACAACAATACTACAGCGAGAATCAAAGTTACACATTCTTTCTTTGCGTGAACATTTGGGCGGTGTTATGCAAATCTTCCCACACAGTGACGTAGACATGTGGGGGCATGTTTAAACGAGGCGTTTTAGGAGGGCGTGGACGAGTCTTAACTTTTATAAAGAATATCTCTTTGGGATTGAGCCTTTAGTCTTTGCAACTTTAGGGATCTTATCTATGCACGAACAGCTTGTAACACTCCAAAGAGAAACGAAAACTTGAAATCACATCATATGACCCTTTTAAATACACTGGTCTATTTTACTTATAGGAACAATACAGATGACATTCAAAAGTCACATTTATGGACCAATAATATAACTACCAATATTGTGCATCCCGATTTCGGTTTGATTTTGCCAGTACTGGAATATTCTGTCACAAAAATGTCAATTTTTTTCTATTTGAGCTTGTGGCCAATAAAGCTTTCTGATTCTGATGTTTAGCAAACCCAGTGAGCACAGGATGTGTAGACATGCTTTGCTTGCAAGCTGACAAACATAAAAGCTGATATCAGCTCACTGGAAGCACTTATCTGTATTTGTGCATTGCAGTATGTTGCAAATATATAATAAATCCATGAGTTAAATATAAATCTCTGTTCCTGAAATCTGCACCAACTGAAAATCATTAATTTTGTCAATTCTAACAACTTTCCACTAGTCCACATGCATGAACTAGCATCATGGAAGTGAATGAAAGTGTACAATAATAATGAAAACACCCACAGGACAATCTAAAGCACGAGTTGAGAAGTAAAAGATTTTGTCGACTAATCTCTGTGAGTGGTTTCAGCCTCTAAGGAACTGAGAATGAACACGCATGGAGCTGATTTAGCTGAATATCTATGCACTAATGGAAATGAACATATTTTGTCCAGGCCTCTATCAAGTAAGTATATCTTTCAACATGCCACACTACAAGGTAGTAATAGTTGGCAATAGTTCAAGGAACAGTCTCTCAGAAGCTTAAAACTGCAAAGGAGGCAGCTATTGTGTGAAATTATGTATAATTACTAAATGGTAGTGTATAATTTATACTTAACATATACTACATACTCATCAAGGTTAATTACAAAATATTCCAATGAATAAAAGCTCAGATGTGATGGGAGAATATAATGAGATAAAGTTCCAAATCAAAATGTTACTTTTATTATAAATTTACACTAGACAAATTATTTGAAATTACAAATCTGGCTGCCATTGTTCAAGACTGCCATTGTCTGATTTGATTGTTTTAGGCTCCGTTTACACTGGCACAAAAAATCCGATCTTTCGCTCACATCTGACACAGATCGGAATTTGTTGCACACGGGTAATAACAAAAACCCGCACGAGATCCGATTTTTTTGCATCCGATCTGAGCCACTTCCAAATGTGGATTTTAATCAGATACACATCTGATATCTGGACATCCGACCTACGTCTAAACACACATATCCGATTCTCCACAGAACTCCCAATGCGAGGGCGACACGTTTGCTCATAAAGATTTTTAATGCCGGCGTGCTGGGGTGGGAATTAATGTAAACACAGATATTGGATACCAGTCGTGTCTAAAGTCAATGTAAACAGACGTGCCAAAAAATCGGATATGGTCAAAAGATCGGATCTGTGCATTAAGACTTGCAGTGTAAACGCAGCCTTAGACTTGTCAGCTAGTCAGTCAGGGAGACATGCTAAACCTGCTTAAACCACGTAAGACCAGGCTGGTTTATGTTGTTAATATTTACTGAATGTCACCAGTGCAAGAAGTACTTAGTCTGAGGTAATAAATAGAGTGTGATTTCACAAAGAGTGACACTGAGTTGGGTTGGCTGGACTACATCTCATTGCAGAAAAAGTGAAAGAGGGAAAACAAATCTGACAACATGCTGAAACAATCATGTCAATACCTAGACCACATGTGCTGTCCTTGGCTCATCAAATCACGATGGGCGACTATAGTGGCGTTTCTCTCCCACAGGGTACAAAACATGGGCTCTTTCCCTGAGGGTCCTTGCTGATTTAAGAGCATCATCATTATATCATCTATTGTGACACATTTGAAAGAGACACATGCGAATCTGTGCAATCAGATTCATTATGTTGATGTCTTTATATGTCATTCTGTCAGGAGTGCACATCATTATAGGCACTTGGTATCGTTCTTGGTCTTGTCCCTATTGTGCCACAAATGATCTCTGTCTGGGTTTGTCTCTCTTGATCTCTGTCTGGGTTTGTCTCTCTTGATAACCTCCTTCCTCCTTAGCTGAGGAGATAGAGAAAACCTTTTCATTACTAATAGGGCTTGAAGACTCTCTCTCGTCTCAGATCCGTAATGGGATAACAAAAGACTTTTGATTAAGGCCTTCTAAGCAAGCATTAACAGTAAAAACATAACTAAAACCATTAAAGGGTTCTTTTAACAGCAGCCATTTAAGCCTAGGAAACAGCCCGGTGCTATCAGAGGTTATGAAAGAGCGGCCGCTTTGATGCTAACATCACGATCAACATTCCTGCAATCAGCTCTGACCTTGATGACAGAGAGAGAGCCGTTTGAGTCTCGCAGACAAACTGCTGCTTCCAAAATGGAGGTTCACTGTTGCCACGGATACAAGCTTAGAATGTGAAGCACAGTAATAAATGGATACAAACAAGCCAGCCAGTAATGATGAATCATCAGAGAGAGGTAACAAGGAGAGGAGGATGGGGTGGATAAATCAAAGAATGCAGGAAGAATGTTGGAATGGATCGAGAAGAGAGTAAATGACAATGGATTGGTTTTTGTAAAGATGGGCGGATGCAGGGAACTCCAAGAGAAGATGCTATTATCAATTAAAGAATAAGAATATCGTGAATAAATAAAAACAGATTATGAATGTAATAGGGATATATTGGTTATTGACTGATATATATATATTATATATATATATTTTTTATATTATCTTTAATATCTAATGCTCAATTAAAGGGATTGTTCACCCAAAAATTAAAATTCTGACATCATTTACTCACCATCAACCTCTATGAGTTTCTTTCTTCTGTTGAACACAAAAGAAGATATTTTGAAGAATGTTGGTAAACAAACAGTTGCTGGTAGCCATCGACTTCCATAGTATATTTTTTACCCATACTATGGAAGGCAATGGCTACCAGTAGGCATGGGCCGGTATGAGATTCTGACGGTATGATACCCTTAGATAAAAAAAAAATATCACGGTTTCGCGATTACAGCTCTAAAATATGTTATTTTTAAATGTCTGGGTAAAAAAAACAACAACTTTATTTTCCACTGAACACAATAAATTTTATTTTTAAGAAACATAGAACATTTTGGAACAGTAAACATGTCAGGCTAAATAATTAAAATAAATAATTGAATTCTTCTTAATTAAATCAAATTAAGTGCAGTCACTTAAGTGAGCCTAAACCTGCAGCTCAACAATAATCAGAACATCTATTATTTTCTGTAAAAAAAAAAAAATCCTTCTAAATGAAAAAAAAAATGCGGTCACTTAAGTGAGCCTAAAGCTGCAGCTCAATAATCAAAAACATAAATCAAAACATAATTTCTGTAAAAAAATAAATCAATAAAAAATGCAGTCATTAAACTTTCAGCTCAACAAGATTTTTGGAGACATGCTCACTTTCTACACAATCCTCTTTCAGTCCAAGTTATGATCCAGGAATGTTCACCTTTCCTGGATTAAGTTTGGAGCGGTGAGGTACGAGGATGTGTGCACATACACACATAAGGAAAGAGTGTGTCACACACACACAGTCTTTCTCCGTACAACACTCAAACAGTGGCAAAGACACCTGAGAGCCAGCAGTTTGTTTGTTTTGTCTACACTTGTTGCAAATCATTTAAACTTTGTGTCAGTACGTCATAAATCGAGCGAGGCATTAGTTTACTGTCAGGGATTTGACGTGTCGCATCGCACTGCGCCGCATCCAGTGTTGACAGCATCACTGATTGTAATGGGTTCTATTGTCTTTTGTTGCGTTGCTTGCGCCACTCGCGTCCGGTGTAAAAATAGTGTAAATGATGACAGAATTTTCATTTTTGGGTGAATGATCCCTTTAAAGGTAATCTTTAAAAATTATAATAATAATAATACTGTTAAATGTAATCTTTAACAAATCAAATTTTTTTCAAACGGCACATTATAATGTTTTGTAGGGGTGTGACGAGACACTAATCCCACGAGACACGAGACTGGGTCCACGAGAACGAGAGGAGACG